TAGTGACGTGACTCTTGGAGAGTCTGTAAGCTGCAGAGCTTTGTTGAGATCCCGTTATTCTGGGCTCGTGGTCTTTCCACCACCCCAGGATCTTCTTGGTTTGGGGGTTGCTCTTGGGGTTGAGAAGAGCAAAAGCCTGTTTCCGCCAGACCTTGGGACTTGCCGTGGGATGGTATCTCTGTGGCGAAGCCTAGGTTTTGGAGTCCAGCTTCTCTCTCGGGCAAGTCATTAATCTCTCTGAGCCTCAGTTTCCTCTTTGACAAAATGGAGAAGGTAAAACTGGCTTTGCAAGGGTAAGTGAGATAATGCAGGCAAAGTGCCTGACACAGCAGGTGCTGGACAAATACAGCCTGGTCCCTGGGCTTGCTGGACCTTGTGTACCCGTCCCTAAGGGTTGGTGATACTTGGCCTGGCGACCTACCTGTTGCAACAGCAATAGGGTCTTGCTGTGCCGCCGCTTCAGTCTGCTCCAGTTCCTGATGTTGACTGAGAGGCAGCTGAGGAGCCCATTAACCAAACTCACCTAAATTCAGACCCAGCAGAAAGGAGTGGCTTCTGAATTTATAACTTCTCTCTCTTACTACGTCTGACAGTGTTATATGCATTTGCATATATGCATTGCTCCTGGAAATGTAGGAAGCAGAAGCAGCTCCTTTTGTAGATGGGTAAATTGAGGGACAGAGAAAATGACTTCCTGCCCAGGTTCACCTGACACATCCTTGAGGAAGTTCAGAGTAGAATGAAGGTCACTTTCCTCCTGGGCTTCTCCAGACTGATTTTTGTGTGGTTCCAACTTCTTTTGTTCTTTTCAGAGGGGAGGCAGTTGAGTTAAAACTCTAGCTCACTGTTTTGAACTTCAGCCCACACCCCTCCGGCAAATAATCAGCATTCATGTAGCCCAAGTCAAGGAAAGAGAAGTCTTTGTTCAAATCATCCCACTGTACTTTGGGATTCAGGATAGCACAGAAACCTGGCACACAGGCTTTTAAGGTAATAGATTTTATTGAATGACACTAAGAGTCTGCCTTCCCCTCGTGTGTGCAGCTTTTTGTCGCCTCTGCCTGTCGGCATCTGTGTGACTCATGTGCCTGAGGGCATGCTGCCGGGAACCGAACCACCTTCACAGCTGCTCAGCTCAGGGCCACAGACTCCTCTTCTCTTCTCTGGGGGAGGGCGCTGTTCTTGAGTAAGACCTGTCAGGAGTCTGGGGAGTTGAGGACAAATCAGTGTCTGCCCTGTCAGACTTTTAAGTGGGGAACACACCTGTAAGACGTAACTGGCTGGAGCAAATGTGCCAGAATGCCCACGTGCAAGTGACTGTTGCTCCTTTCAGAGTTGTCTCTTCAGGAGGCTACACACATGCTCCACTGATGTTCCCACTGCTCCAAATAATGTGGTCAACGACCTCTAGCAGTTTCCATCAGAGCCACCTTTTCAGCCAAGTGAGAAAATTCTTTTTGAGACATTTTTCATATCCTCGTTTTTGAATACCAAATGGTGTCCCAAGGGTGACCACCATCGTTTTTTGGTTTTTTTTTTTTTTGTTTTAAACCAGTTGAAATTCCAGATAACTTCTAGTGATTTCCAGAAGTGACAGTCACCCTTGGAGGGACCTAAGAGACCATGGCCCATGCTGAAGAGATTCAGAGGAACATCCTCTGAATGCAGATCTTGTTACTTGGCCAGGTGGGTAGCTGTGTGCGCCTTGTTCTTTCAAAGAGTCAGGTCAGGGACTGCTAGGTAATGGTTGAGTCTATTGCTTGAGTGGGGAGTCCTGGTGAAGACACGCTCCCTGTTTGTAGAGATGACATGGTCCCCTCTCTGGGGCAGATTTAGTTTGGACTTCAGTCCTGTCTGCTAATAAGGCAGCTTTCTCTGGATGTTGCTGAGCAGAGGTCTCTATAGTCACGGAGAATGAAGTTGTCTTCATGTGTTTCTCCCTGTCCTCACCCCGCCACCCCTGTCCCATCCCTCACTAATGTTCAGTGTTGGGGCCACAAACAGTCCTTTTCCAGCTGAAATCTGTTCATACCTGGCTCTCCAGGTGGTAGTCGTACCTTCTTTCCTCACCTACCCAAGGCTGCAAGGAAGTCATCTTTCTTCCTGCACCTGTGGCTGGAGGAGCTCCCCGGCCAGCCAGCATCCCAGAAGCTAGTGTAGGGAGGGGACATGGGGTTAGAATACAGGAAGATGACTACAGTTAGAGCTCAAGATTGTAAGGTGCAGAAATGGCAAAAGTGGTGGGCATCTGTCCCGGATTTCCTGAGCAATCACAAATCCAGATAGTCTCTTCTTTGTCTCACAGAGTAGTGATGGCATATCTAGTTGATGGAATGTGATGCAGTCATTTAAAATGACATGGATGAGTTTAAAAGAAAGTAGAGGGACTTCCCTGGTGGTCCAGTGGGTAAGACTGTATGCTCCCAATGCAGGGGGCCCGGGTTCAATCACTGGTCAGCGTACTAGGTCCCCCATGCCGCACCTAAGGGCCCCCGTGCTGCAACTAAAGATCCCACATGCCGCAACTAAGACCTGGTGCAGCCAAATAAATAAATAAATATTTTTTTAAAAAAAGAAGAAGAAGGGCTTCCCTGGTGGCGCGGTGGTTGAGGGTCTGCCTGCTGATGCAGGGGACACGGATTCGTGCCCGGGTCCGGGAAGATCCCACATGCCGCAGAGCGGCTAGGCCCGTGAGCCATGGCCGCTGAGACTGTGCGTCCGGAGCCTGTGCTCCACAATGGGAGAGACCACGACAGTGAGAGGCCCACGTACCGCAAAAAAAAAAAAAAAGAAAAGAAGAAAGGAGAAGATGTTTATATTACAATAAGTTTAAAAATCAACATGCCAAATCGTAAACACAGTATGATCACAATTATATAAAAACAAAAAAGCACACATCCCCCCCAAAAAAACACAGGCATATAAAAAAGAATGAAAGTAAATATACCAAGTATTAAAAATGACTTTTCTGTGGGTAACAGGACTATGGTGATTTTTTTCTTTCGTTTTAGCTTTTTTCTTATATTTCTCAAGTATTCTGTAATAACCGTCATATCAGTGTCTTAAATGGGAGCCAATTAAACTTGATAAAATCCCGAACAAACCTTTCTTACTGTTGGACTTTGTGTCCTGAATTTTGGCTTAGAGATACAGCTGCCGTGACTGAGATAACCTGAGAACTCTCCTTCCTTCTCTCAACCTCTGTAAATCTGAAGTCAGGCAAGCCCAGGTTCCAGGAAGACGTTTCGGGCATAGTTCTGTCTGGAGGCAGGGGCTGGACAAGGCAGCCTCTCAGAGCCCCTTCCCACCCCCGGTTGGCGATTATCTGTGCTGCACACAGCTTCTGCCAACACTGAGCGGACTCTAAGTGTGGTGACATTCTCTGAGTGGGGAGCAGTAACAAAAGTCTGGCTGGGATGGAGGCCGGGGGCGGGGAATCTGGAGTGAGTGCCTGAGCTGACAAGGAGCCAGTGATCTTTCTCCCTGGTGGGACTTGCACCTCCAGCTGCCAAGCATCTGGCAGGGCCCAGCCGCTTGGAAAGCTGGTGCCCGCTGCAGTGGTCCTGCTGCTGGCACAGCTCAGAGAGCACGGGGGTCACAGCTACTTGCGCGAAGGACTTCCCTAATGGTACAGGGTGTCAGGTCTCTGTCTTGGGGTGTGGGAAGGATCACTTATCCTTTGAGCAGCAGTGATTTTGAAGGAAGCAGCGTGTCTGCAGGGTGGAAACTAGGATTTTCCCTCGTAGCACCCGTGTAAAAGTAAGCCTGGCGAACAGACATCCAGAGCGTGTCTTCCTCAGCTGTGTCTTGCCTGGATCCTCCATCTCCATCTACTCAGGGCCCTGGCCCAGGCCTCCAAATCGGATTTTCTCCACTCCTCAAGCCAAAAGCCTCAGTTTACTGCAGCTACCTGGGTCCTGCTGCCCATCAGAGCAGCAGACAACCCAGCCATAGAATGCTGGGACTTACACTCTGAGGAAGGCTTAGGGATCCTAGAGTTAGCAGGGTCTGGGAAACAAGCGTTGAGCTGTTTAAGGATAGGGATTAGATTGTGTGGAGTCATTCTGCTGCCGCTGCTGCTTTGAAAGACTCTGGCAAATGCTGGGGCTCCGTGGAGGCAGGTAAGAAGGGTTCTCTGTGATGGCTCTTAAGTGCTATACCATGAAGTTCCCAGGGCGCTGGCCCTCCCAGGGCAGGTGGACCTTCTTGGTGGGACGCGTGATGTTGCTGGATGCCGATGGGGACACATCAAGGGGAACTTCACTGGGGATGCAGGCGTGCTTCATTTCTTCGTGCTCTCCAGGCATGGCACAAGGGGTTAATATCTTCAATGGCTCTATTTTGGGGCTAATGGAGTGTTCCTAGAATAAGACTCTTTGTTGAGTAATCTATTTTGGGAGGCAAGCCCCACTGGCATTTATGTAAGCGATTCTGTGTATCTGGGGGTGTGGATGTGTGCGCAAGTGGTTTCTTGTTACTAATTAGAAACAGCTTCTTTTGGGAGCCAGGGGAAATGGAGGTGTGTGTGTGTGTGTGTGTGTGTGTGTGTGTGTGTGTGTGTGTGTG